TGCAGAATAATTTTTGTGGATTTCAGGGGAATTATGTGGAATGAAAAAAGCCAATTCCTGATTCCATTCATGTGACACTTTTGAAGTTATAAAATTATAGAAATAAAGAACAAGTTAGTAGTTACCAGGTGATATGGAATAGGAGAGGGAGGAGATGGCCATGGCTATAGAAAGCTACCAGGAAGGATTCCTGTTGGGGAACTGTCTGCATTTTAATTGTAGTGATGATTTTACACGTGATAAAACTGCATCATACTAAACACATATACAAATGAGTGCATCTAAAACAGGTGAAATCTAAATAAGTCAATGAGCTTTATCAGTGCCACTTATTTGGTTGTAATATTGTACTCTAGTTCTACAGGATGTGTCACCAGGGAAAATGGATGAAGTTTTATACAGAATCTCTCTGTTTCATTTCCCATAAGTGCATGTGAGTCTACAGTTATTTGAAAATTAAAATATTAAAGAAAATAAAGAGTTGAGCCTAGAGAGATAGGCAAAGAACTGAATGAACTGTAGTATATCTACATTATGGATTACTGTGCAGTTATTTTTAACAGTTAAAGTATAGAATTTGAGCTGGACTCTCAGGCTCCATGAATTACCAGCTTAGCGCTTTCTGTTGTGACAGCTGACTCTCCCAATAGGCAGAGTCACCGAGCTACTCACTGTGCGGGACACTAGACAACACTAGCCTCTGGTTTCTCGCCTTTCCACCACGAGCCCTGCACCCTGAAACAGGCCGTGTACTGGCCCCCCAAAGCTGGGACAGACGCTTCGCCTCGTGGGGGTTAGGGAGAGTAGCTGCTGGGTGGGTGTGAAGGAAGCTGCTGACCTCCCAGCTGCACTCAGCAGGAACTTGATCTCTGCAGTGGGAGCGGGAGGGGGCTGGGAAGGCTGGCCTACCCCTTTTGATCCGCAGGTTGGGCCCTGAGCAGGGAAGGAGCCCTCGCCCTTGGTGTGAGCAAGGAGTCGGCACACGCCACAGACTCTTTCTGTTCTCACTAAGTTTTAGCAGATTTTCTGAATAAATATTTCCTCATCCATTATGAGGATTTAGGACACTTTGCAGAGACTTTGCATGGTTCCCTTTATTATTGTTTTGAGTTTTAGATTTTTGGGATGTTTTTGTTTTGTTTTATTTTTGGCAATTATGCTTGTGGGCTGGGGTTGGCTCTGTGGAGCTCCTTACGCTGCCGTCCTGGAGAGGAGCTCCTGAATTATGTTTTTTAGAAGACTGTGCCAAAGACAATTCCTGGGTTCAGCTCATTCTCTTGGAGCTTCAGTTTCCTTACCATAAAAGAGAATAATAATCTATAGCGCAATATTCAGGACATCATAACGCTGAATATCTGTCAGTCTGTTCCTCGTCTTATCTCACTTTCAGGCTTAAAGTTCTAATTGAATGAAGGCACCCAACCAATACTGGGTTGTTATCCCCTAAGAATTTTAAGACTCCAAGAAAGTATTATATTTAAACACTACCAAAAGTGATTTGGGGGCTTGACCCAGAGATAAGTTTGACTCATGAGACAGTATTTTATAACAAAATCATTAACCAGGAACATCACTCAGGGTCTCTGGTTTCTTTTCCTCCTCCTTGACCACTTCCGACTACCTCACCCTCTCCCAGTGCACTTCACCTGTGTAATAGCCTTTTGCCAACACATGACATAGGAACTGAAGGCTTAAAGTAGTTAAAAGAATGAAAAGTCAGAAGGTCTATAAAAAGATTTCAAAGTACTTAATAACCGATAGTCTCCCTAAGCTATGCTTTATTACAGTAGTCTGAACTTTGAAATACTGCCCCCTTCCTATTTATTAAGAAGTCAAACTATAATGGAAGCCATTTCTAATGTCATTCAGTCACTCATTTAACAGAGATGATTTAGTACTTAGAGTTATGGGTTGCTCTACTAGGCACTCGGTCGCTGGTTTACATTTTAAAAGATGAGATAGAATTTGAGGATCTGGCTGGTTAGTTTATGCCTTGCTGAGCCAAAATGTTATTGTCATATTTGCTCAGTTTTTTGTCTCTTATTCACCTACTCATTCCTTAAAAAGATCAGGAGGAACACTGTGGATGTGATCCAAGGAAAGGCTGTAATTGAGACTTACCTTTAGCTTCATATTGTAACAGCTTTAGAGCTAGCCGGGGACAAATGGCATCTTGTTTTCTGCTTCTGATACAGGTACTGTTGAGCAACTAGAACATACTAAAAGTGATTCATTCATTTTTATAAATTCTTTGCTCTTCTAAAAAGATCTAGAACAAGGATGGGAGTATAACTCAGTGGCAGAACCCAGTATGCATGCAGGCCTAGGTTTGATCCCCAGCATATCAAAATAAAAAAAGTAGAACCAATCATGAGTAAATTCTGAATAGATACTATGCAATCCACCCATGGGTGCTTACTCTAAATGAGAATACAGATGATGAATAAAACTCTAGATCTAAAAATTCTATTTAAAAACCAAAGATACCTCTTTTTTAATGAAGAATTCAGAGACTTCAAGTGGGGTTAAAAAAATTTGGATCTGAAAATAAGAGACCGTATGTAGTTTGGATTGTGAAATGACATTATGTTGTTTTACAAGCGCAGACTGAAGCCTTACTGTGTACAATGTTAGCAAGGCATATTCCTTGCTTTCAAAAAATAAATTGTTCATAACTATCGGGCTGGGTGGAAAATATTTGTTATAGAAAAACATCTACAATGTCATTTAAGAGAAAAAAGAAAGAGATGTCTTCCTATTAGGGAGGACATTAGAAGAGGTTTCAGAAAGGAAGAGGTGTTAAGGCCAGGAGTACCCTCCCTTGCTAGAGTACTGTGGACGGGTGAGGTAGAGTCATCAGAAAGCCCCCAAAATGTCATCAAAGGAGTTTGGAAGTTTATTTTGACACAAATAAAAAAATTTAACCACAGAAGGATATTTGAAGCATGGAATACTCATCAAAACTGTGCCTTGGAGAATTATCTGACATGATGTACATGTTTTAAAATATTAGAGGTAGGAAGACCAATATGGAAGTCATTGTTGCAGTAGCGCCAGTAATTATTTTTTTAAATAAAGAATCAGAGACTTGGAGCAAAATAAAAAGCTAAAAGTGAGAATAAAATCGAAGTAGATGGAAATTCCATAAACATAAAACATGAGATAGAATGAAGAGGACAGGTGGTAGGCACTGTGATGGGGATGACTGAAGCTTAGGGACTGGTGTCAGCAGTGAAAGAAAGGTAGAAGATGGCTTGAGGGTTAATGTTTGTGCCAACGAGATTGACAATGCTCTTAAAAAGAGAAAGGGAATGGAAAGATGAGAGTTAGGGAGAGAAGAACAGTGATACTTCATTTATTCAGTAAATATTTCTTGGGCACTTACTATATGCCGGGTGGTGTTCGGGGGAGAGCGGGAGAGGTTATCTTTAATTTTAAAGTACTTTATGTAGAAGAGGCACCATTCCCAATCTGCATGACTCCAAAGGCAAAGCTGGAGCTAGGCAGCAAGAGGAAGGTAGAAAGTGAAATATTTTTCTAGTAAATAGAGGCTTTCTGATGAGTGCTAAGGACTCTGTCACAGGCAGCATTCAAGCAGAAGCTGGGTGATGCTCTTCCAGGAACATTGCTGGAAGAGGTTTCTACCTTTGGAAAGAAGTTAGATTCACCTTTCTGTGAGTTCTCTCCTAGTTTTCGGAGTCTATTTTGATGATGTAGTCCTGTGGGTTCTATTATTAATCTCTAGTTTCTCCCAATTATTAAATAAATTAGTATGTCTGCCATTCAGTAAAACTCAAACATTTACACCTGTTATTCTGGAATTATTTTTGGAGAATAGGGCTCCTCTTCTGTATTAAAAAAGTCTACTCAGGTAATGTTAGCTTTATAGCTATTTTAGAACGATAACTCTGGTACATAGGGTTATAAATACCAGGCAGGAAAAGGATTTCTCGTGCCTAATAATATTTTTGTTTGGAAGAAGCCCTTGCAAATGAGGAACAAATTATCTTGACTTCAAGATTGCAATGCAGTTTCTGTATGTTGCCATAATTCAGAAAGGAAAGAAAAACATCTCAGAGAGGTTCGTTTTGATACAGCACGGTTAAGAAAAAGAATAATTATTCTCCAAATACTGTAAAGCTTTCGATCCCGAAAGCTTATCTGTGCCGCATTTTAAAAAGAAGAAAGGAAAAGAAAGAAAGAGAAAGGGAAAGGGGGACCCGTAGTGAGCTCTGTTATAAGATATAGTTTAAGCCTTGCATTTCCTGGTGTCTTTTGAAAGGTAAAATTCCACAACAAATAGCCCGGTAATGTATAACCAGTATGAAGATTCAATTCATAGTTAAGCACTTTGGTTTGCTTTTGAGTCTTGCTATTTTCTGCATTTGTTTTGACTGCTCTCATCATTCAAGATTGACGCTTGGATGGGTGTGTAGGAGGAAGCAGCAGCAGCAGGCTTACAGCTTGCAGACAAAAAAAATCTGCCTTATCTGATGGCTATTATTGAAAATGCGAGGTGTAGCCTGGGCTGGGTAATGAAGGGGAGCGAGCGAGGGGAGCAAGGAGCATGGAGCTGCATACTGATGAGTGTAGGAGTACTTGATAAAAAGAATTCTGGCTGCTGGCCGTGCCTCGCTCATTGTGGAGTACTCCAACAATCACACAGAACGCAGACCAGCCTAAGCTGACAGCTTGATATGCCTTCTTCTGCTGCCTGGTTTTGGGGGCTGTATGACGTACTGGTCGGTAGTAAAGATTAATATGTAAGAAATGTGGAGCTAGGATCAAGTCAGACTCCGCAGCCTGCCTGGCAAACTATGTTTTACTTCTGACTTTGCTCTCTCGCTGAGAACATTAATCTGTCAAGCTGGCGGGCTCCTTTGATAGCAACTTTCCCAGGAGCATGATGTGGCAATGCCACCTCTCAGCCCAGGACTACCGCTATTATCCCGTGGACGGCTACTCCCTGCTTAAACGCTTCCCTCTTCATCCTCTTGCAGGACCCAGATGCCCTGTCCAAACAGTGGGACAATGGTTGGAAAGTATTGGGCTACCTCAGTACGAGAACCACCTGATGGCTAATGGATTTGACAATGTGCAGTTCATGGTAAGATGCTCTCTGTGTCCACGGAGCTGCCTTTTGTCTGTCTTTGTTTCTTATGTGTCTTACATGGCTCGGAGGCAGCCTGGATTGCACCGAAACTGATCGGTTTTTATATGTGTAACTGCATCAGAAAATTGGATGCCCTCAGGTCTGAACTTGCTGTGTCCATATAGACCCTTGCTGAAAACTGAGATCTGTATGCATCCGTATACATATGTGTTATGTAAATGAACCCGGAGAGTATTATTTATAGGCAGTGAAAGAAGATTAACATTTATATTCTCCCTGTCCTTCGTTGTGTGTGTGTTTTTATAAATTTGTAATCTTAGAATATCCAGGTAGATTATATCACTCTTCAGCTCATTCTCAATTCCTAAAACATATTATTTCACTTGAGCATCAACATTTAGTGATTAATTAGACAATTTGTTATGTTGATGCTGTGAAGATCATTTTTCCCCGATAATTATTCAATAAGCAGCTTAAATCGTGTGGACGACCTTCAGTTCATTAGCAAACTGTTTCAGATGGTCAGTTGTGGGGAGCATTCACTTGCTTACACACACTGATTGAAGAGCAGTGAAGTATTGTTTGTTACTTTAGGTGGAAGACAAACACTTCGGTCAGTTAGCTGTCGGTATTGAAAAGAGGTGTGGATGTACTAAGTATATTCATGTAGTTCTGAATCCCAGTCTACATGCAGTCTAAACCTAGCGTGTGCAAACTTCCCACCGTGATGCATGTGGGTGAGGAAGGAGGATGTGGGTGTGCAGGCAACAATCTAGCTTTCTAATCATTTCCATACCTCCCCCGGTGCTCATCAGCTTCCCTGTTAGGCTACGTCACAGCCCTGTTACTTTTCCTGGGTCCCATCACACTTATCACTGACCCCTAAATTGAGAGAGACCTGCATAACATAGGCATGTAGCAGACAAACTGTTAGTAGGAATAATTAATAGCTGTTCTTAAATAAAATGCAGGGGCTAACACCTGCAGCTTGCTAATACCAGTACTGATCAGAACAATACTTAGGGCTAGTCAAATCTTTTTATTTCCATTTGAAATGATTTTTCTCTAACGTTGACTTGACTGTTAAAGATTTGAAGATTATTTAAATCATTAAACTTCTGCTTCTTCCCCCAAAATGTATATGCTTACAAGCTTTAAAAAAAGACATAAATGTATTAAGGTATGTGAGCTTGAAATAATCGTGTATTCATAACCCTTTTTTAAAAGAATGAGATAAGCTGCTGTTATTTTTCTTGTGTTTACCAAGTACTGTCACTGATTAGATAGACAAGATATTGTGGATATTGAAATAGGAAAAAAGTGAAAGTTCTGCAATTTCTGTAAAATTCTTAGGACATAGAGAGTAGATTCAAGGCAGACTTAGGACCCTAAATAGAAGACATTAAGAATTAGAAGAACTAAGTCATTTCATCATTATGTGTGTTTACTGCATATCTCAATATCTTTATTTTTTCTCCGTATCTCTACTTGATATAGGGTTTTCTTATTTCTACCTGTCCAAATTTATTATGGTCTGTGAAAAGTTAGGGCTGGATTTCCTGGGTCGTTTGCCCACGTGGAAAGACTTTCATTCAGTTTAATTTCTTCTGTATGTTAAATACTTATGAACAAATATAATCCTTTTTGAAAGCCTCTAGTTGAAAGGTTAATCAAACAGATTTTAAACAAGAATTTTGGGAGAGATTGTACAAAACATTCACAATTGAATTATGTACCGCTAGTGCAAATTCTGGGTAGAAGTCAAAACTCCGGGACATTTGTGATAAAACCTGGGTCTAATCATAGATTTCTTCACTTGTTTAATTACAAGTATTATATAGATTATTTTACATGCATTATATAAAATAAACATGAATTGTTAATTCAGATGAGCTGGTCAAATACTTTCTTCATGAGACAGAATTTTTTTAAAAACTTTGATTATGTAGGAGAATTAATTATGAAAATGAAGCAAATCATAAAACGATGTCATCAATTAGTGCTTTACATGTTGTTCTATCCCATTTATTTGCCCCTAGTATCATAAGAAAGTAATTTCTACCTTTATAAAATGATTTATTGATTTCCATAATCTAATTTCCTCATAAACTTATAAACTTAAAGTACACTAATATGATTGGCCCACTTTAAGAAACAGACTTCATTCATGTGGTAAAATATCTGTTAGGCCTGCTTCGTTTCCACTTGATATCATATTCTAGCTTTTGTTTTTCTTGAAGCACATTCTGACCTGCATTTATTCATCCTGTTGCCTAAGCAACAAGCACCATGGTCCTATTAACTGTGATGTAGTACAGGTCCTATTAGCTTTTTAGAACAAGACAGTAGACATCAAGAGGATATAATTAATGTTTGAAGCATCATGGTACATCTATACATAGATATGCTTTATTTAGGAAACATTCTCAGGAGGTAATTTTCCATTAATCAATATTCCAATAATGAGCTTGAGTTTAAAGAGTCCACATAAGTAACTTTCAGAGTATAGTATTTTTGAGAGCATTAGAAAATGTTTTACGAGGTCAGTTCTACTTATGCTCACACATAAACACAATATATAGGTGATTTATCTATGTGGCTATGAGTAAGTTTTATATAAATTACTTATATCAATTCCTAAACATCTTTTAAAAAATATCCTTCTCCACACACTCACTTGCTTTTAAATATCTAATTACTGCTATTCCTTGAGGTTCTTAATACTTAACCTTGGTTTTATAAATGCACAAAAATAATTTCTAATATCTCTGACTCAAAATTCTGAACATTTTCTTCATGCATTTCATTCTTGTTTGCAGAATAGTTATGCACATAGATTAGATTAGACCTTTTAGAATCCTTAAAAATATTAAATAAATGGAAATCAGTACAAAGAATAACTATAAAAGTAGTTCAGGTCACCTAAGACTTTGGGAAAGTCACATGCCTGGCGAAATTAAAGCCTTTACAAAATAGAATCCTATGTTTTCAGTCTTCCCTGGGTCTCACCCTGCCTGACCCTTCCCTGCCAAGTCACAGGTCATCACTGTCCTCCTGCTGAGGCGCGTCTTCCTGCTGCTCGCCAGCCCTGGGAATGCTGCAGTGGTCCTCTGACATACATCTCACTCCTTTTGTCCAAGTTTGCAGCGTATACTGTGTAGCTAAGTTTCCACTACGTTTGTTTGCTCAGCAGAGATTTTAGGTATGAAGTGATCATTATACAGAATGCACATGCTTGTCTATTTTGTGACTATCTTTGTTTCTTCCACCACTTTTCTTTTTCTAAGTCTAGTGACTGCTGCCTAAATTTTAAGCCTCAAGCCATCTATTCCCGTCTCTATGATAGCCCCTTTGTCTCTCTCCGCACTCCTCCTGGACTATTCCCTCCCCCGTCTTTTATTCTTAAAGGTCTAATGCAATTTCTGCCTTATTCACATAGCTTTCCTAAGGACTCCGGTCCATAGCAGCCTGTACTCATGTACATTTCTCATGCCATTACTCTTACTCTAGAATTAGGAGTTAAATCTTCTCTTACGTTTATCTTGTCTTCCCAACTAGACTGGAAGCTCCTCAAGTCCAAGTTCTGAGTGTTTAATTGCCTTGCCTTTCTTATAACTCCTAGAACATGCTGTGAGCATAGAAATCAGCCTGTGAAAAATCAAAACCACAACAGATTGCTGTAGATGGGCCTCCAGTCTCCTTTTTCAGTGAAATCTTGGTTTTGCCAGTGGGAGCATGTAACCCCCCCCACTTTCATGCAGCATAAAATTCGCTATGTTCCAGGTGCAGTGTTAAGTAACAGTGTACAAGAAATGATCCTTCCCCTCAAGGAAGATGTAGGATTGCTCTCAGACCTTGCCTTTCATTTGCATACATGTCGCACCTGTTCCTTCATGTGTATGCACAAACATTGTACATGCATTCACACCCTGGATCACATGGCTCTTGTCCCTTGTCCTGCCATATAATCATCATCATTTGCCATATGTGCTTCCTAGCAAGAGTTTTTACAGCATTAAATTACAGTAGGTAATAGAAAATGTAAAACCTGTCACAGCCCAAAGTAAAGGAAAATAAATGTACTGGGAACAACCAAACATTAGCAGTATTATAGCAGATTTATAGTCTCTAGACCATGTTAAGAAGTTTATAGTGGGCTGACACTTGTCTAGTATGCACATAGCCCTGGATTTAATCCCCAGCACCAAACTGACGCATATATACATAGATATATCCATCCTTATATTACTTCGAGGAGGACTGAGTCATAGTTGCACCGTGCTAACTGGCCAATAGTTATATTTGTAAACGCTAACAAAAAAAGAGGAAGAATAAAATTATACCAACTCATTTTTTAGCATCTCTTGCTGACAGTGGATGATCTGACTATTACTAAAATGTTGAAAATGCAGCCTTTACAAAGTAAAATATAAAAATAATACTGACAGCGCTACATGAATTATTTTTGTACAGTTGAGTGGAGAGCGTTCATAAAGGGCCTGCTGGAGGTCAAAGTGAGTAGCGCCTATTACACACTGATATGGAGTCTCAGAGCTCTTAAATGTCATCCATTCGAACAGAAGTTTTGAGAAAGATTGAGCTTCTAAGTACATATTTAATTGAAACTCCCTCCCCCATTTCTGTGGTGCATTTTACATGCTAATGGACTTTATCACTTTTCCACTTTTATAGAGCTTTGCTTATATGTATGAACACCATTTACGGTTGGCCTGATAAAATTATCTTTCAGATACCTTAGCAGCATATCGTGATCAAAATAAGAAGTTAAATTTGTGAAGTAGGAAAAAAGAAAAATGTCTCTAAAGGGTAAATATTGTTAAAATATTATTTAAGAAAATTTAATTACTGACATTCAAAGGTAGAAGAGAAAAATACCTGTCCCATTCCCTACACCTTCCTGTGTCTGAAGCCAGCCAGCTTTTGAGTGGAGTGTTGCCCTTATATTTCACATGCAGCTGTCACTCTCCAAACCC